CATGTTTTGCATTTCGGCCGTTGCCTGGTGTCACCCCACTGGTTTACGAGGATATAACTTCACGTCTTAGCCACTAGTCACCTAAACGTTTGTTCTACAGTATGTTCTTCACAGGAAGTCGATTCTATACTGCTTACTGAGACAGGCATCATAGCCTTGAGAAATATGTTTTTAGTTTTGAGTCACAGACATCTGTGATCACATTTGACTCTCCAGTCCTATGTGCTTTGGTGTACCGCCTTCACAAATTTAATACAGATTTTATTCAATAAAATTGAATTATGATCCATTTCTAATGACTGGGGATTTCAATATTCATGTTCAAAAATGACACACCCAGGACCTGGTGCTGACTTTTGGTCTTAAGGCAAAAATGGCTGAGGTGTGCTAAATACTCTTCTGTACTGTTACCGGTAACAACCCATCCAAGGAGTTTGGTTGTGGTTCAATGTAATGCTTAACTTTAGACCATTCTCTAAACTGTTTTTTGTGTCTTAAGTTTTAGAGTAAGCTACTTTTTACATTTACTTTGATCTAAATGAAACCAGTGAAAAGTTCCACTCAGGTCTTATAAAGAATCAGAGCATTTTAATAACCTTGTTTTAGCTGTTAAAGCTACAGTGTGTAATTTTTAGCGACATCTAGCGGTCAGACTGCAGACTGCAGCAACATGAACATCTCCCCCCCACCGCTTCTCCCCCCCAACAGTACGGCGAGCGTTACGGGACAAAATGTCTTCCACGACGTCCGCATCACCTACCTTCTCAAGTGATGAGGTTTGTTTACATAGATAATTTTAATACTGCCATCTATTGTTCAGTACCGTCTCAGTTCATCTCTCTCAACTTGCCGTAGTTACTTTCGAGCGTAATGGGCGATCTCGCAATCGCTAGTTTGTTGGCTCTGCGCTGCCGTAGCGCAAAGATGTCTGCCTCCATGGCTGCGAGACCCGCTCCTATGTAATTATAAATAACGAATTCTAAGGCAACGCAAATATTAAGGTTAAAAGGCTGAGCTCGTAGATGATGATAAATAACATAGTTATGTATGATATATTACATTTCTGACTGTATATCCCAGTAATTATTACACACTGTAGCTTTAATGCAGGGAAATCAGCAGCCTCCTTGCTTTGAGACCTTTTGGCAGCATGGATCAAAGGAACAGAGCTCAGCTGGTTTAGGTGTGTCTCTTTAATTGAGGCTTTTCTGTAGCTCCCCTCTGTCTCCTTCAGGTTGTGTTGTGCCGCATGGGTTGATACTGACACCTGTTCTTTTTTCCCTGCATATGCTCACCCTGTGCTCTGTCTTCATAAAGCATTAAAGCTACAGTGTGTAATAATTACAGGGATATAAAGTCAGAAATTTAACATATTATACATAACTATGTTATTTATCATCACCTATGAGCTCAGCCTTTTAACCATAATATTTGCGTTGCCTTAGAATTCGTTATTTATAATTACATAGGAGCGGGTCTCGCAGCCATGGAGGCTGACATCTTTGCGCTACGGCAAGCGCAGAGGCAACAAACTAGCGATTGCGAGATCTCCCATTACGCTCGAAAATAACTACGGCAAGTTGAGAGAGATTAACTGAGACGGTACTGAACAGTAGATGGCAGTATTATGCCTGAGAAGCGTTTAGTCTGCCTGAAACCAAAGAAGAAGAAGAAGCAGGTATACGGCGCTTCAGTAACAAGAAAGGTGAACAAGGCGGCAGGCGTGAGTGACTTTGCAAACTGTTTGGCACTGTGTGGCCAAACATCAGACGAATGGAGGATCATGCCTACTCTGTATCACAACGAAAAGCGGCGGACACCGAACCCCCGTCATCTAAGAAGCGGAAACACGACGAGAATAAACGCAAGCGTGACAAGAAACGACAAAAAACACGGATCAACATTGGCACGGCATTTACACGATGGAAGTCACTGATGGAGGAAAAAGGTTTTCAAAGTGACGCTCAAGTTGCCAGTTTTCTCTTGGACAGGTAATTAAACCTACACACACAATTGTCTAATATCACTGCAGTTTTTGGAGTACAGGATGCTCAGACCTGTCTAAAACAATAACATGCTGCGTGATGATGCTGTTACTCTCCAGTATACTTATTCAGCAACGTCCCTGACGTTTCACAGGTAATGATTCAGTAATTTTCTGTAAAACAATTTTCTGGATATATACCTCGGTTAATTCTCTCCGGCTCCTTTGGAGATCTTCAAGCCTTTCTTCCTCTGCTCTCACCCCGCTGGCACCCCTCCCTCGCCTGGCCCTAGCTGCACGCCCACCCCGGCCTCTCTGCCCTCTTCCTCTCCCTCTTCCTCGCCTTGTAACCCCCGTGCCACAAACAAGACTTGGACTCTGTAAACGGGGAATATATATTCTTCCAGCGAACACAATCTCGCTGTTAAACTAATGACTACAATTACTTCGTCTGTTTATATCACCATGCAAAGCAGCTCACCAAAACGTCACAACGATGTAGAAAAAATAACGGGTATATTTATTATCTAAAGTCTACATGAAATCTATACCCTACACAGACTAATGAAATACTATCTGTAAAATTATCTATGTAAACAAACCTCATCACTTGAGAAGGTAGGTGATTCCGACGTCGTGGAAGACATTTTGTCCCCTAACGCTCGCCGTACTGTTGAAGGGGGAGAAGCGGTGGGGGGGAGACGTTCATGTTGCTGCAGTCTGCAGTCTGGACGTTAGATGTCGCTGAAAATTACACACTGTAGCTTTAAGTCCTTTTTATCTGTTGTCAACATTTAAATCTATCTGCCTGTAACGACCAATGACAGCCAGTCCACTGTCAAAATGCTTCAGTTTTCTTAAGAAGGTGCAGGCATGGTTAAGTGTGAATGAAGAAAAAACTGAGGTATTTCCTTTAGTTTCCCATTTTCTTTCAGACAGTCATTTAGAAATCTCCATAAGTGCATTTAAAAAAGAGAGTGAAGGAATAAAATGCTATTTCAAACTTAGCCCACTGCTGAGTGGTGCTGTTTCCAGAAGTTGCAGAGAGCACCCCATGTGGTCCATGAGGGCCCCTTGGAGCACCCATTGGTTACCCCGGTTCTGTAGTGTCTAAAATGCTGTAGCCCAAATACAGACTAAAACAAAGATGCTTAAATCAATTCAGATTACACTCTCCATCTATTCAATTTTGGGTGAAGGTTAAGGTTTTGTAGATTGCTATTAAGTATTTAAACTCTTTGGCCCATCTTATTTAATTAAGCCGCTACATTCCTACACTCCAAATAGACCCCTGATGTCAGCCAACCAGCTCCTATTGTCTGTCCGTTAATCCAGGCTAAATTCCAGAAGTGATAGAGCTTTCTCAGAGGCAGGACCCATACTGTAGAGCACAACGCCCGCAAATTGTTCATCCATGGCCCCCTGGATGATATTTAATTACAAGTAGAACCAGCCCAAATTCCACAGCCGCTTGTGCATGCTGCTGTGACTTTGCAGGTTACCGTTGCATTGTGGGGAATTTAGTGTTGGTGCAGTTGTGTTGCAAAAACCAATACTACATTCCCAGGGGAAAACATGATTGTGTTTTTCTTTTATTCAAATTTTTTTGTTGTGCTTTGCATTTTGGATTGTTTTGTTTTCTGCTTTTGCCCCTTTAACAATCCAAGCTGGGCTGAAGTCGGTTGTCTAAGGAGGCGGAGTGCACTAACTGCACTAAGCAACTGGTGCACGCAGGTGTCAGCAGAGGCTGATTGAAGCCAAAATAAAAGGAGCCTGGATGGAGGGAGGGGGCGGAGCCGATCCTGCAGGTGGTAGAGACGGACACGCTGCTGAGTGAGGGGTAGTTGGGATCCACACGATACTCTGAACAAGATGCAGCGCTACTTAGAGGCGCGGCCCTCTGCCTGACTGTGTCGTCTGTTCGCCTCCCGCTATTCTGTGCCTGGCGTGTGGAATAACCTGTCCCTCGCTCGGCAGCGTGTCTATTAGTGATTGATCAGCGTGTTTATTTTGGCTTCAATCAGCCTCTGCTGACACCTGCGCGCAGCATTTCAAGAATCTCTGGCTGAATTCTGCGTCCGCTGTCATTATTCATCACAAAGTTCTTATAATTCTTTGTACAAGATGGGATTTTCCTTTGAAGGAAGTATTGTTTTGTCTGTGTTCCACAGTTTTTTGTATTCTATTTCTTTTATTCACATTTTTGACTCAGGTAAAAATGCAGATAAGAGCCATGAGAGAGAATACAACTGATTTTTTCTTATTTTACTATTTGAAAGCAGTAATCCGTAGGATAATAGAGCAGCACAGTAATGCCTTTTCGGTTTATAATGCATGCACTTTCATTTATGTATGTATGTTAATAACTTTATACTTTCACAATGTGTTAAGTCTTGGTTCAATAGACTATGTTTATTTCAATATGTTTTAATAAACATTTAACCAGTTCGGGCCTCAGCTTGTAGCAGATTAGTTTTTTTGGCCCTTGGTGTATTTGACTTTGACATCCCTGCTGTGGAGCAATGCTCCTTTTTCTTTCAAAGCTCTCACCTCTTAGACTAGTTCAAATCCACACTGAAAAGGCGCCTCTTCTCCCTGGCTTTCCACGCTAGTTATGATAAGATAACTATAAATATATATATCTGTGCACCTCTAACCATTTAGATACATTTGTATCCAAATTACACATTCTTGGTCTAATTGTTTTTGGCAAGACACTAAATATTGCAGTCTTGCTCCGCCCGTTCAGCAGGCACAAAACTTAAAGATTTTGATGACTTTATAGCCCACATACCAAGATATAACAATTTACATATGTTAAGGGGCGCAACTGAGTCAAAGTACAAAGGAATTAATCAGAGCTCCTCACAAGGTCCCAAAGATAATTCAATCATACATATATGGTCATACCTGGAATGGCTGATCAGTATAGTTCATATACAATTGAAGGCATATGGTAATTTAGAAGGCTTATAGTTGCAAATCATTTCACTGCAGAGACAGACAAGCAGATTACCTTCTCTCCATAACCTCTGTCCTTTGTCATCATCTCTCGAAGTGTTTGCAGAACTTTGATGCACAATTTCTCTTCATTTTCTTCCAGCAACTGTTTGGTATGCTTGATCAGCCTGCACCATATTATTTATCAAGAGTCAGTGGCACTTTATGAATCAACTTGGAAATAACATAAATAGTTGAAAGGCTTACTTGCATATGAACCCCCCGCTCTCACACTTCCTGCGTGAGTCAGTGTTCTCTGGGAAAAGCAGCTCAGGTCGATGCAGCACATCCACCAGGACGGATAGCTCAGCCTGGACCAGTGGGCGCAGACGATCCTCAAGAGCTGACACAATGTCCTAGGTTAAAGAGATAAGCATGTCCTTACTGTCTGTATAGATGGAATGGTTTGGGGTAAATTCAGACGTTACCTGCAGCCTTTCGATAATATTCCTGTAGTCCCTCGACACAGTCACCACAGATTCTCTGCGAGTTGAAAGCTGTGAGTTGCGAACGGACAGCCTCCAGCTTGTGGCGGTCCTCTGCACTATGTTGTTGGATCTCACAAACAGGTTGTTCACCTGGTTGTCCAGGTCCACCGGGATGGCTATTGCTCTGCTTTTGGCTGGTTGGTACAGAGAAAAATGCATTCTTTGTTTGCTGCCAATTGTGTTTTAAAAGTTCTCAATGTGAGCATTGAAGTAGAGATAAACTCACCAACATCAGAGAGCACTTTGATGCAGGTTTCAACAGAACCCTTCTGGCCAGACCCAAGCCAGTAGCAATGGTAGACCCTGAAAACTGCCTGCAGCAGCTGCACAAAAACAGGTTGCCTGGTCTGAGAGGAATACAAAAGAGAAAACAAATAAAACCCAGGTTAGCATTTTTCTTCCTGTTTCTTTCAATTCGAATAGACTCTCCTTGAGAGAAAGAAAAAGGTCCCAAACAGCATCAAACTCTCCCATCTTTCCTTTGTTACAGTGGTTCCCGAACATTTTAGCTTCTGAAATAATCACAACACATACAGTTAAGAGATGCAGCAAAAAAATTACTTGAATTAGCACATTTACACAAATTCCTTTACATTCTTAAAATAAAAGATAAAAAATATGATTTGAAATCCGCTACAACACCTCTGACCGGTGCATTTCCAACTGTGCATCTCTTGTGACAAATATTTCTGTATTTTTTAATCTGTCTGATTGTTGAGATCCTCTCCAAGTTTGGGAACCACTGATGCATTTCACCAACAGTCTGCACCACAGTGTTTAAATATCCAACACCCTTCTTCAGAGTCAATGAGCAAGAGTTGACAGAAGTTGTGGTTAGACCAGCATGCCGACAGAGTCTGAAGTCTGTTTCTTTTTCTCTGGAAACATATGTATTCCACAGCTGACACTTTCCCAGATTTCACCCATTGAAATTAAAGCCCTAATTGTACTAACTTATCGACACCAGTTAATAACAAGGTAAATATGCGTTTTTTCTGCATTCCATACAAGAAAAGGTTTTGTTTCCCTGCTAAGAAAAATCACAACAATACCTGCAAATTTTTCCTCAGACGTTTATCCTGCAGCAGATGCCAACAGGTCATGAAGAAACAAACAAAATTTGCATATATATATATATACACACAACAAAATCAAGATGGATGACGAGATCCAAACACAGTCCTTATCATTGCAACTGCAGAGTGATTGATAATCCCGGTAATCTACAATTCAGGGACAGCATTAGCCACTTTACTGATCTATTCACTTCATTTACCTTACCACATTGTGTTACCTCCACCTATAGTAATGCCTATTTTAAAGGTAAAATGGAGGATTTTAGCAAAGTTTTGAAAAGACTGCACTTAAAAAAAATGCACATGCAGAACCCTGTGCCCGTTCTCAAGAGGGAACGGCTATTATGAGAGCATGCACAAGCCCATTTCTCCTTGTGCATGCTCTGTTTACAAGTTGCTGTTTGCATCGCTGATGCAAGCTTACTTTCCAAAAGAAGATTTGCAGTTTTTCCACTATGTAAGAATCACCACTGATAAGTAAAAATGGGGACGAGCACGTAGGACGGCCTTAACATATCACCAGAATGATTGACAATTAAGAGGACCAGTTATTTTGATGATCCACCCGGAAAAAGAACATCCTACTCTATAACCTTTAAGCTAGTTTGCATTTCAGATAATGCTCGTGTGTTCGATATGATGCAGATTGACAAAAACAAAGACAAAACATGTTAAACTAAATCAATGAAAACTGGTAGATCACATGATGTATAGACCTGTAATAGCCTTTTGCCATTACAGGTCTATATATATATATATATATATATATATATATATATATATATATATATATATATATATATATATATATATATATATATATATATATATATATATATATATATATATATGATAAAGAAGAAAAAAAAATCTTAAACAGTTATATCATCTGTTCTGCAATCTTTTCTCACAACTTAAAGACAGTAGAACTGAGTGTAGCATCCCTCTGTTTACTCTCAGTGTATTAAGTGCAAATTAGGTGGTCATGAAAAAATAATCTTGACTACCTAAAATAATAATTTATGATAATTTTTTTGATGGTATGCTTTAAACCTTCTATAGAAGTCTCCATGTGTATATACAACCGTACAGCACATACCTCATCAGCTAACTATGAGTGAGTTGAAGCAAACCAAGCAACTCAATCCAGGCATATAAACAGTTTCTATCACCAGGGCTATTTTTAACAACTCTGAGCTCTGAGTACCATAATGGGCAGCTGTGTAGCTAAACATAGAAGAACATTAACATTTCTCTGTCCAGTACTAGCTCCATAAACTCTGGCATTTAGTTTACCTGCAGGCTTGTGCTCTGGTCGGAGAAAGGGGAGCTGAAAAACGTGGTTACAATGCTCATCACCGTCTCAGTCACGTAGCTTTCCAGAACATTGTCTGCATGCTTACGGTCACTTGTGTTGTTGCACACCTGAACGAAAGTTTGAATGTCTTGAATCTGCTGGAAAATTTTAATTTTTTTTTATTTTCTAGCTAAAGAAGGTATGATGCTCCTTACTCTGCAAATGTCAACCAGAAAGTTATCAAAGAGTTTCCACATGTGGTTGGAGGTGTAGATCTCCTTCATTTCCACCTCAGTGTCCACATAGCAGTGGTTTAAAAAGTTGATGTATGCAATCTTGATCTGGAACAAAAACTAAGAATTATGGAAATGTGCATCTTAAGACACCCAAAATGCAACCTGCTTCTTCTGTCACCTCAGGGATGCAGTCTTCATGGGTGACCACCCGCACTATATCGTCCAGTGGTAAGAGGGAGTTGCACTTGATCTCAGTGTAAACATTCTTGCCCTCAGTGCAGACAGCAAGCAGCTCCACCAGGTGTATGTGGTACCTAAGTGGGCTGTTCTCATCCATCCTATCCCGCTCTGACCGCATCATCTGGACCAGAGTCTGGAAAGAGGCTCGATCATTGTAGAAGACCAGAACGTCTTCTCCAGCATTTACCAGCTGTAACGAGAAACAGACAGCATTAGGGGTAAAAGAGGAAACAGTAACATACAGTGCTGTGGCAACTTATTTCCACCTTTTGAACCTCTCAATATTTTAACATGTAAACCCAGTACACCCTGGATTTTATGTGACAGGTCAACAGAGAGTACTGCATATTGCCGAGTGATAAAAATATATACATGGCTGTCAAATTTTGTTTTCAAAGAGGGGGTTGAATGTTTATTGACACTTACCAGCAATTAAAGCTCTGTTAGCACATTTAGAGACTTCTTATTAAGTAAAATGAGATGAAAGTAAGTTGCCCCATTCTGATCTACAAAACGGCTCAAAACTCAGGCAGGGTGGATAAAATCATTCTCAGGGCATTTTCACAGGGAGTGCAACCTTTGTTTTAACTGGACCATTCTAACAAAGTTACTAGATTGTATCTCTAGCTCTATGGTGTCTTGCTCAGAGATAAATCCTGCCACAGTCTCAGGTCTTGTGCAGCATCCAACAGGATCCCTCTCTTGACTGAGTGGACAAGTTTAATCGTCTGTGTAGTAGAAATGCATTGCATGCGACTGCCACCACTGTGTTTAACCACAGGGAAGGTTTGCTCAGGGTGATGCGCAGCGTTGGGTTCTGTCACCCATAACGGTTTTTCAAACAGACAAAAAAGCTCAATTTGTATCCTTTCAATGCTTACTAAAAAGAAGAAATTCTTATTTCCTTGTTAGAAATTATTAAATAACAGCTAGTTGAACCCTTTTTTACAACTAGATGACTTGCAAATGCAATAAGATACCAGATATTCATAATATTGTGTGGTTAGTCTGTCACACAAAACCAAAATAAAAGCATAATTTTGTAAACTGTTGACAAGCGGAAATGTTTTGAGTATTTTTAGTCAGAGATGGTTACAACCTCTGCCATTACGATGTCCTGACACTTTTTGATGAATTTGTTCTCAGCTTTGACAATGGTCTGTAAGAATTTGAGGTACTGGACGTTGCGGCCGTGGGTTTCAATGCAATGGACGAAGTGCTGGACCACGCGCTCATTGATCTCGCTGCACAGCTGGAAGTTGTTCATAAAAATGTGCTGCATGGTGACGGCTTCTAATATCTACAACAAGAGAAAACAAAGAGGAAGCAAGAGTCATAATCCGGGATTAAATGCAATAGTAGACAGGGTATGTGGGTGAGGGATGGGGAACGATGACTAACCCCTGGATTGAGGAAAAGATTGATGTGTTTATGGAGCAGAGCCTGGTTTTGCTGGTTTCCTGCACAGAAGTTCTGTAGAAACTCGTGGGCTAGTTTCATATTGTCCTGCATGCGGACATCTTCTCCCTAGAAGATAAAATAATCAAGTTCTAAATATTTAATCACATTTTATAATACAACAAAACATTTAATTTAAAAGCATTCTGCCTTTTCATAAGGTATCTGCAGCAGCTCAAGGACCACGGAATGAGCGCCCATGTTTCTCAGGAGCCTCTGCTGCTGTTTTCGGCTCTTTCGACCAGACAAACCTTCTTGGATACACAATCTGCTCAGACGCAGCAAGACCTATGAGAGTGGAATGATAAAGTAGGGTTAAAATGGAAAATTTCTGCAAAAGATTTGACTTTTATTTTCTGTCTATATAATTTTTTTTTTTTTTACCTCTTTTATCACTCTGTAGTTTTTGCTGCTGGAACTTTCTGCCTTCCTTGGTTTGTGTGTGGAGGAGTCATCCTGAAACAGCATAAAGCAATATGACACGTGACCTCACCACCGCTGCTTTTACCCCCAGTCATCATGATGTAAATTAAAAAGCACCTTTTGAAGTTCCTGCTCAGCTGGCAGCCCCTCTCCTCCATCCAAGCCCTCATCGGGTCCCTGCCTCTTGTACACCCACAGCTCAGATTTCTCAACTATAGACCGCAACTTATCCAAGTCCTCCTTTATCTGCTTGTAATTGTCCACATCTTGGCTTGTCACCAGCAACTGCACCTGTTATTAAAGTTATGGAAAGATAGATATCATTGTAGTTTCTACTAAGGTAAAATCTACCATATAATTATAGAAGCTAGTAATTATGTTGCTAGCTCCAGGATTATTGATTTTCCTTAAAGTGAAATATTTAACAGATGATTTATGCGGCTTCTGGGACAGGTAAGAACAAATTTATACTCTTACTTACACTCACTGATATTCTAATGTTAAAAAGATGCAATAATATGATAAGCTTACTTTTTAAATCTCAATCTCTTTTAGTTGAGTTTTGTGGGATTGACGAACACAAAATAGTTTATGATTATTATTAGTGTTTAGAAATGTATTAGATAGGATCTAGGACAATGTGCTTTGAGTTTAATTTTAAAGTGCTGATTTCAGCCCCAACTCGACTTCAGGGCTGTTGCCCTGCTGGAAGGTGAACCTTCTCCCGGGTCTCTACGTTTTTGCAGCCTGCATCATGTTTTATTAAAGGATTTTACTGTATTTAGCTTTATTATTCTTCTTTACCTTCTTTTTAAGATCTCTGCCAACGGAGTATATATCAATCCCCACAGCATTATGCTGCCATCTCTAAGCTATAAATAAATGATAGCATACTGAGGGTGATGCATATTGTAAGTTATTTGCCACATAAAATGTTCTGCATATAAGCAAAAAAAAAAAAAAAAACTCAGTCTCCATCTAATGTCACCAGAGCTCCTTCTTCCACTTTTTCTAATATTTTTTGAGCACCTGTTACCTACAACACTAATCAGACTAATTTTCTCTGTTTGAAGCATGGCCTTAAATGTTTGCAGGGGTTGTATTATAACATCCTTTGAATGTCTGTTAAAAACTGGCAGAGCTTATAAAATGGTAAAAGGCATTACTGTACTCTACTGTACTTATATGGCACTTTTGCACCTCAGATGACTTGACCAATATGCTTTACGCAATAATAATTCACCCATTCATGCACACACTCACACACTGATGGTGGCAAGTTACATTGTAGCCACAGCTGCCCTGGGGCTCACTGACAGAAGCAAGGCTGCTGTGCACTGGCGGCACCCGGTCCTCCAGCCACCATCAGTAGGCAATGCGGGTAAACTGTCTTGCCCAAAGACACAACAACACTAAAAGCAGGAGCCAGGGCTTGAACCAACAACCCTCCTGTTGCAGGGCAAACTCCTCCAGCAAATGCTACTGTCGCCCCAACAACGCCACTGTTGCCCTAAAATAGACCAACATATTTAGAAATGTTAACTATTTTGGCTTTCAGTACTTTAAGTGGGCAGGTATGCAACGGTACCAGAGCTCTCACTTATAAATTTTACCCCTTAGTACACCAGGACCACCCCCTCCCTGCAGTTTACAGCTTGAAACAGATTTGTTAATAATAAAATTGTATCAAAACAAACCCGATGCTTCGGTGTAAAACACTTGCCATACATTTAAGTGGTTGTATGTGTTTCCGATGAGTAAAACCAAAGGAAAACCATCAGTTATCTGGCTCCAAAAGGACACAAACTAGAGCACAGTTGAATGCCAACAGCAGCCCTCTGAACAGTCCTTCACTACACGAAAATAACGGAGGTCAGACTCCGCAAGCTTGCATTAGCGCATCCAAACATACTTTTTTTAATGTTTTTAATTAGATCTCTAGATATACAGACCAGAATAAAGTATTGCTAATGTTTCGACTGCATACTTGCATGGCATAAAGGGGAGTATTGGCACTTAGTTTCTTTTCTACTTAAATCTCAGTTTATTATCTATAAATTTTATTCAATAAACTATTTTATTGTGGAGCGAATGAAATAAGTCATATAAATAAATTGAGCATTAACAGCAGATTAGTTTGTTTTTTATCAGCAGGGTTACCTGTTTGAAGGCCTGTAGGACCTCCTGCCTTTGGCTGAAATGCCTGAATAGCAGGTGCAGGGCTCTGGATACCAGCGGAGGGTACTCATGCATGGTTAAGTGCAGTAATACCCTCAGGAAGGTTCGACCACCGTGATCATCCAAGTCGAGAGGTGTGTTATCCTCACTACAGATAGATGACAGATACTTTAATAAGAAAACATCTATTTCACTTTTTTCCCTGACAGTCTCACTTTACCTTCCACCAAAGATGGCCTCTGCTTGCTCCTCTATGTGCTCAAAATCCAAAGCTCCTGCATTTTCAAGCGGAGACTATGCATCAAATTTCAGTGGACCCAACTTTTATATGTTATGAATTTAAAAAATAACCAAACCTGGCATATTGTTTGGTCCTTCTACTGCTCCACTTATAGATAACTCGTTCTGGGAATTACTCTCATCAAACTCCCTCTTGAAGATTGACAGAAGACAGGAGATCCTGTAGTCCAGACGGACATTCAGGATAAACTGCAGCAAAGAAAGCGCAATAAATTCCAGAAATGCATCCCATGCAACTTCTAACTTTCATCTCCATATATTATATGTATTTCACCTGCAGGATCTCTATAATCTTGAGTTTAGTGTCCATGACCAGTATGTCCTGTTTCTCAGGTTCAATCTGTGTCTTCACTGTGCCTCCGTCCGAACGGCTGCTTGGATCTATAGGAAGGAACCCGCCTCCTCTCAGGACTACTTGGGACATCAGCTCTCCAACGCCATGAATAGACCTCATTACATTGCTGCCTGAAAAAATATATATAAACACCAAAACAGATCAACTACACAGGCACCATATTCAGGTCCTTAATCTGCCACTCTAGGCTTTCATACTTCTGCTTCCATCTCCTTTGTCCAGCTTGGTGAACGGGAAAATGGTGCTAACATGGACACAATCCAGAATAGCCAGCAGGATCTTAGTTAGTCTGAGCAGGTCACTGAAGTTGTAGAAGCCGAAATAAATCAGATTCCTGGCCAGATTCACCACCTGAAATAAGAACAACAAAAAACTACAAGTTTAAAGTTTTTTAAATAAGATTTTATGAAACTAATATAACTTAGTGCATTATTGTGAAATAAACAATATACGATACATCAACTTAGATTTTTTGTCTGGAGTAAAAACAGCATCACACCAAGAAAATTAGGATATTAAGAAATATCTGAAGCTTTAAACATTATACACATTTTAATATCCTTCTGGTCTAGTAAGTCCACTACATAAAATTGACCATAGTTTAAACTGTGCAAATACTTTTTGACTGACCTCAGAGGTGAGCTTGTTCTTTTCCTTGTCTGCAAATGGAAAGTTCTGACACACCACGTCTCTGAGGTAGTTTTCAACAAACTCCATTGTCTCCGAGAATCGCTCCTTTATTTTATCCTTGGTCATCCCATCGTTGTCATAGCTTCAGATTAGAGCATAAACACAACAATAAAATGGAAACACACCCAGAAACACAGTCTGCACTGAACAAATTGTTTGCGCCCCATCTCGTACTCGTTAATGGAGATTTCCGATGGGATCTCAGACCAAAGCCGAGCGTATTTGACTGGCGTGACTTGTTCCTGGGGGTCCCGATCCACATGCATGTGTAGCATCAGCCGACAGAATGAAGCGCGTAGGTCAAAAGGCAGGTCTTCGTCCGACATGCACCTCAAGATCAGGTCTACATCCAGCTGGATGGAGATCTTGTTGATTGCCAGATACTGACGATCCAAACACATCCTGGCAAACAGGTTCAGCTGGTACCTGTCAGAATAAAAGCAGACAAATCAACAATCCAAACTATAAGTGCTGCTCAGCCCAGGTTATATCAGGCCCAATTACCTGTAGTAATTGATCACTTCTTTGTCCTCCTTCTGGCCCTCTTTGGCATCCTGAGCCAGCTCCCTGATGCTTTTACTGCGGAGTTCTTTATCACTGTTATTCCAGAACAACCACACTTCCTCCTCATCCTCCTCTGCTTCCAGAGAGTTCTCCCCAAGCTGCTCTCCTTCAATCTCAAACCTTGAGAGCACCAATCTACAAAGGTAATCCAGAGAAGAAAACAAGATTTTTATCATATTATTTTATTAATCTTTAATTTCATTATATAACAAAGAAGGTTAAGACACAATTCTCGCCCAAATATCAGGTAACGATATCAAATATAATCAGAGTCAACAAATAATCAGTTTTTTTAACACTGATTTAATTTCTTTAAAAAGACAAAGTCGCTTTGCAAACAACTTGAACCTGCTGCTGTGCTTTAGATCTTTGCCCTACTGGGTCACGTAACAGCTCTGAGCTTCAGATCAGTACCTGACGCCTGGACATTCAGCAGATTTCCTAGTCCAGTTATACTGAGTTCCTCTTGGAGATTGTTAATCATTTTCAGTCAAATGTTATTAATGGTTAATACTGGAATCCCAGTGAGGGTGCCATATCTTCCCCTGCTTTTTGTTGTTTTTTATTCCATTCATGCACTGCAAAAACAATCTAGAAATAAGTAATAAGTCCTTAAATAAAGGGTATTCAGCCTTAATTTGAGCAGGTAAATAAGATGATTTGCCCATGGAATGGTTTTTTTTATTCTTAAAATAAGATAATTAGATAATATGCAATTGAAATAAGACAATGCAATTGTTTTGTTCTCATTTTAAATGCAATTTGTCTTTCTCAATTCTCCCAAGGAGTCTCAGTTACCTCTTCAATTCAAGAAAAAATGCACTTATTTTAAGTAAAAAATTACTTATTGAGACTTATATAATTTTGCAGTGTTCCCACCACAGAGTGTTCAGTGTGTTTAATGTGGCTCTTGGCTCTTCAGAGACCCCTGCGTGAGTTGCTTATCAGCTCCTGGGGTTTATAATGTTTGAATTGGTGAAGATTGAGGAGTTCTTGAAATCTGGACACAACCTGGTGTTCCAGCATCACAATGGTGCCAAAGACAATTAAAAACATTTAAGCTCAGGAAATGCCCAGCTGTTTTAACCTTCTGGAATATTTGTGGACTGAGCTGACTGACTTTTTTTTTCCTTCTAAAGGTACAGCAGAGGATGTTCTTTTTCTGGTTGGATCATCAAAATAAATGCTCCTCATAATTATCAATCATTCTGGTGATATTTTTACGTAAGGCGTACGTGTTGTCCCCATTTTCACTTACCGGTGTTGAGTCTGACATAGTGGAAACATTACAAATCTTCTTTTGGAAAGTAAGCTTGTATGAGCAATTCAAAGAGCAACTTTTAAACAGAGTGTGCACGAGGAGAAATTGGCTTGTGCATGCTCTCGGATGGGTTTAATAAGCGTTCCCTCTCGGGAGCAGGTATCTGGTTGTGCATTGGCTTTTTTTTTTTTTTACTGGAGAGAGCGGGTCTTTTCAAAAATTTGCGAAAATCCTCCACTACACCTTTAAGACAAAGAACTCCCTTTTGGATGGACTACCTAAACAATAAATTGTTGTAGTGTGTTAATTAGAGACCTTGACTCAAAAGAATAAATGGGTTAAATTTTTTTTTACTTTGTTTCTATGAGGATGTCTGCATTTGCCGGGTCCAACACTGCAGTGCAGATGAGCTCTTGTGTCACAGGGATGGACTTATTCATCGACACACACAGATCTGACAAGTAGTCCAAGAACCTGGTCACAAACACAGGCAACACAAAAATCAATCACACACCACACTGACCTTCTGGAGAACCTTCATAATCTAGGAGTTGTTCAACCAGTAAAAAGATTGATCAGGTTCCCTGATGGACCACGATCAAGCAAACAAACTGTGGCCCACCTGGGCTCCCGGTTCTTGCGAACCAGGCTAACAAATGTGTCGATCTCTGCAGCAGTAATGTGCTTCTCCAGCAGTTTTCTGTTGTTATGGAGCAAAGCCGTGATGGTGTCCTCGGCCAGGACATCGTAGCCAATCTGTTTCTGCATGAAGCGAAACTGTTTGGCGATGTACTCCTGCAAAAGTCAAAATAAATTAAAAACACATAGGTTAGGTGCAGATGCAGGAAAAGTAAGCACAAATATTTTCAAGGTATGTAATATTTATGTCATCTTGCACCCTCTGAAAAGTATTAAGAAAGATAGGCCTACAGTCCAATTGATGACTTTCCATGTTGTTTTTTTTTTATTTGTTTATACCAAGCCCCTCTTACTCTGGTACACCTAAATAATATCCAGTAGGACCAACTACCTACCTGCTAATTAAGTTGATTCTGTGTTTTATTTTCAGTAAAGATCCACGGGCTCTCTGAAGGACTCAGAGATCATTAGCGGACAGACATCTTCATAAAGACCAAGACCTTCACCAAACAGGTAAGATTAAAAACTTTGGAGAACACGTCCCCCTGAACACACCGCCTGATATTGAAACACGGAGGAGGCAGCATCATACTGTAAGAATGTTGTCTAATCACCTAATTTTATCACCATGATTCCTAAAATATTTTGTTAAAATATTAATAGCTTTGAATGGACTTCCTTCTACTTCAAACTTTTAATTCATGTGGTTTATCGCCTACATTTAAATAATTATCTCTTTAAATCTTCTATTTCTACTTGAAAGACTGTCCAAAGAAACAGAGGATGCTCACTCTAGTCACATCTTACTAAACAAAGATGACTCTATCATCAATAAAAAAGCTATTAATAAAAATCAGCTGATCCTAGAAGTACGCAATTTGAGATACGTGAGCAATTTTCACAACATGAGCTTTATCTATAATTATTCTGGGTTGATATATTTGGAGAAAGTAGTTTAGTGTCTCAAAGCGCGGACTACACAGGATGTTCATCTACATTACACAGTGTAATGTATTGCATTGTGGTTGTTACAGAATGATGAGGTTTTTCCCCCAGACAGAAGTCTAACCCTTTAAAACCCTGTCAGAAGGTTGGAGGTGATGATAAGAAATAAAGTTAATGATTAAAAATTTCTACCTGATTTTTGCGGTAATCCTGCTGAGAGTGACGCAGGACCCTGTAACACAGACGGCAGATGTGTCTGAAGGGGGCATGACGCTGGTCTGCCAACTCGTCCAAACGCAGCATTGGCCCATCCCCGCTGTCTGTGAACGGAGCCTGTAGCAGTTTGAAGATCTACAAGCAGGGAGGATAAATTGATCACTTTAATTTTGCAATTTGGAGTCAATTTTGCACACCTCTTTGACACAGAGTTCCACAAATCAGAGGACGAAGGGGGGGGGGGGGGGGGGGGGGGGTCAGTCTACTTAAAATAGTTTCCAATGTTGCTTTATTGGATTACCTGTTTGAGAATATTCTGCTCTCTCATGAGTTTCTGTCGCTCCCTGTTGGGTTTGTTCACCATAATTTCCAGAACATCCTGTCCATTGTTGGGAATGTCCACAACAAAGAACACCAAATCCTCCAGAAGCTTTGTTACCGCTCTGAATTTTTCATTATAAAAGACACATAAACACAACTTAACATGAACATCCTCTTCAAAGAGACGACTGCTTTACTTGGCTTTTTCTACCTCCTCTCATTCTGGGTGATAGTGCCTTTTTCCAGCTTTCCTGCAATAGAGGCCAGAACTTTACTGGCATCGTTAGCAAAATCCAGGTCCCTAACTTCGGCTGGGGAGACGGGCACGATGGCGAACGCCTCTTTGTCCTCCTTATGTGCAGATGTGCCGATCTTGAATCAGAAATAAAATACAACATGTTCAATGAGTAGAAATTCATTGACTCATCAATCTTTCTTGTCACTATGAAACCATAATTTTGTATCGTTGTTAGAATACAGACATTTTATTTAAGGCACAAATTAAAACCGTTTAAAAACTTATAAATGTTTATGACACAATCAAAAATGACAAAACAGTAAATAAAAACTAGAAAAGTGATTAGTCACTTACCCGCAGCATGACGGGTTTTTCTTCTTCCTTGTCTATCGGTTGGTTGGTGCTGTGAACCCACGTATTGGTGCAGAGGTGTCGAAGCCGCACATATGAGTTTCTGCAAAACAGGCCAGAGTTTCTGTTTTATGTAAAAGTCTCAGATAGCCGTTAATGCTTGTGGCACAGTAGTAGAGCAGATGTCCCATAAACGAAGGCTGTTAGTCGTTGAGGACCAACAGCTCAGGTTCAGATCTCTGGAACATTAGGCATCTAATGACTAAATAATGAAATAATGGCCACTGAAGCCAAAGATCTCATCTCCAGAAAATTTAATCTAAGCAATGTTAAAAAAGGCAAAACTAAGTGCAAACATCTTATTTATTGTTTGTACCACATGTCAGTATCTGTTTCCTTTTACAGTGTCTGCATAGTTCTAGTGTTTATGTTTCCAGTATGCTTCGGTTTCAGAGAGTCACAAGAAGCAAACGTCTTATAAATTTATAAGTAGAAGAGGAAGGGCTCAGAAGAAAGTAATAAAACCAGAGTGTATCTGGGAGATTTTTTTCATGTGATGGTGCAGCAGTAGGCAGAATGGTCCGAGTGTGCACAGCTATACAAAAAGTGAACTGGGGATTTTATTTTTACCTAGGTATACCAGAAAATAATCCACTCTACCTGTAAGTTTTGCTTCCACTTTTCAATATGTTCATGTCGTTACTAAATATTTGTGGTGCAGTTGTTTTTTTTGTTGTTGAACACATCAGCTTTTAATGCCACTAACGATACAAAGAAAGTTAGATACCCATTTTTTTCTGCAGCCAGCAGACAAAACTAATCATCATCTATCCAACCAAACAGAGGCTGTATAATCATTACCCACGTTTGACTGTAAGTGAATCTCTCTTGAAAGTTCCATCACATAGACACTATCTAGTCTAGGATAAAAGAATTAATCAGATTAATCATGATTTAATGGTTGTGATAATACTTGTCAACTGATTTAGTAATTGAATAATAATTTTCTTAATATACTGACACTATAACATCCCGTTTGTTGAAAGAGCAACCCATTCAGAGCAATACACCAAAACATCATAAAAAATTATTCTGCATTTAAGACAAAACACCTTCGATGGTGAGCTCCATCCAGAACTTCTGAAATAGCAGTTCTGAGAATTTCATTTCAGATAAATATCTTTAATAATAAATCTTTCTAAAGTAATCTATTGATCAAAACATGAATCACTACAGTGTAAATCAATAAATAACTAAAATATCAGATAACCAGATCTCTAACATAATTAGGGCTGCCATTAAGGATTATTTTGCAAATCGATTGTTTTTTTTGATAAATAAATTAATAATCGGAGGGCCAAAGGTTCCTTAAAGAAGATTCTTTATGAAATTAAAAGAAACTAAAACTTTTCCACTTAAGGTATTCTGGATAGAGCAGATTGACAGGTTCAAAAAGTGTTTTATCTTAAATGCTAAATATTTACTGCTACTGTGTGTAGCTTTGTCATCTAAAGGCATGATTTCGAATCTTTATACTCCAATTAACAATTAATTCATTCTTAAAATGGTTGACAATTCAATAATTGATTAATCAAAATTAATCCAATTAATTGTTTCAGCCCTGAATCTAGAGAGCACAAACATTAACTGTTCCCACCATGTGTCCTTCTTACCTGGGCACAAGAGAGTCTCCCCCCCTTAAGGTGGTCGGGTCCAATTCGAATATGGAGGAGATGTCATTTCCATCAGGAACAGATATAAGTGTGTACATGACCTTATCTTGGACATTTTTCAAACGGGATCTCAGGGCATGCTGCTCTGAGTCAAGCTACAGAAACAAAATTACTATTAGAAGATGAATTTAAAACAAATTCATGAGCACATTTTGTCTAACTGGTAGAAAGAATACCAACAGAGCTTAGCATGGATGGATGGAGTTTTTAAAATAACAGAAAATCCAATAGAATGTCAAATCTTTACATTTTGCCTTCGAAACTCTATTCAAATTTTTTATTACAGAAAAAAAGTCTGCAAAAGACTACCTTGCTGATCTCACTGACTGGGTCAGCAAAAGGTTGGAAATTTCAGGATAACAGAATAGCAAAGCAAACTCTTTATTCATTCAGGAAAGAACTTCAGATGGAAAGTAACTGCCATCTGCTGGGCAATATTAGCACAACACCTTCAAATTCCTCAAACTGTAAATCTTTTTACAGTAAACCTAATCGGTTATTAAGTTTAAAACATATTTCTCATATCTCAGCCAAAAAAATCACAGCTATAAAATAGGTTTTAGATGTTTAAGTATGCACCAAGTGTTAAAGTCAATCTAAAGAGATTCCTGTTTGTAAATATGGGCATTCATATAAAACTCTGCACCACATAGAAAAAAATTGCCTATCTGCATGACATTCTCACCGGAGAACCAAAGTCGATGCCTTCGTCTTCATACTCTGGGTTAACCTGCACACATTCAAGAGTTGTTAGCTTTCAGAAGTTCACAAGCCAACAGGACAGAAAGGGGGACAGACAGACTGACCTCTGCAGCCAAGTAGTGTCCAGTAGCCAGGTGTTTGAACCTGAAAAGACTGTTCCAGTAGCCCGCCCCGCCTCGACACGGATCATGCTGTACCACCTGAAACAATAAAAACAAAAACAAAAAAAGTAGAACCCACTTTTACCTTAGAGCACACCCAGCAGAAACAGGTTTCTGTCGACAGTAGCTCACCTCGATCTCCCAGAGGGCTTTGCTGCTGGTTGCCGACGTAGCAGACTGACGTCCAGTAGTGCGCAGGAATACATATTGCCTTTTTCTGTGATCATCACATGTGAGAAACTTCTCCTGCTCTGCATGGAAAAGCCGTACAACGTCACCCTGCAGGGAGAGATTACAGCAAGTTTTGGCTTAATATGGTCAATGATAAGAAATTATGCTTAAAATCTTTGATGGTCACCATTTGATAAATATAATAAAATAAAACTCTCACTAAATTAGTTTTGGTATTAATGTATCTAGTATTAAAAATCTGTTTGGAATTAAATGGGGTTTTAGCTGGAAGCAATTTGTCTTATAAAGGTTAACAGGCATGCTGAAATTATAGCAAAGAAACTCTAACATAGAGTTTTTAAAGTTATTTTGTCTCATTTAAATTCAAGTACTGCTGAGTTTTTAAAGTTATTTTGTCTCATTTAAATTCAAGTACTGCTGACTGAAGATACTAAAATGGAAACAAACAAACAAAACATCCAACTGGGATCACACAAATAACCTTATGCAATGGCAAGGTTTGTAAACAAAAAAATACATTAGAAAAACCAAAATTATTTAAAAAAGGTGTGTAAAGGTCAGAGACTATGGAAGCCTGTTTCCACCACTCTGTAGAAAAAAAAAATCTCAAAATAATGAGATAGTAGTATCTTACTATAATGAGATAATTATTTTTTGAAAAGAGTGGCAGAAACAAACTACCCTAAAACACAATGTGACTATTATGTTAAGAAAATGATCTAGCCAGTGTGTTTAATATAAATAATGAAATATATTTAGATTAATACTTCATCTATAGAGTATTCTTTTCCACAAAAGGCCATTTGTAATAAATAATCAGAGAAAGATTTATCTTATAGTTGCTGAGAAACGCACTCCTTTCAAGACGCACTCCTGGTTGTCACTCCATTTCATAAACAGGACAATCTTCCAGCTGGTGTTACAGTTGACAGAGTTTACCTGAAAAACAGACAGAGCTGGATGTGACTGAAGCTGTAATTAATCTGCAAAGTTTGCCAAAATGCACAGTCATATGCTAAACTCTTTCTGAAATTAGAAAAAAAAACATCTCTTATGGTTTGCTTTTTTTTTTTCACACCTTATTGTTTCAGATGACCAACGTTTTAATACCACACAATGCTTAAGAGAACAAATACAACTGCATGCAGTTTTCAAACGATAAACCAACCTGGCCCCCATAAAGGCTCCAACCACCACAAAACACACTGAAACATTCTGATGACACTAGATTATTACATACCATACCAGGACACATTGAGGGGAGTGGCGGCCTAGTGGTTAGGACATTGCGCTAGGAATTCAGAGGTTCTGAGTTCAAGCCCCGCTCCCACGGACTGGACCCCTGGCTCCCTCAGCAAAGACCCCTAACCCCACACTGCTCCCCGTGCCCCGTTAAATGCAGAGTTAAATTTCACCAGTGTGAGATTAATAAAGTACAATTATTATTATATGAATATGAGCACCTTTTAATTTTGTTAGAATATGCTGGATTTCATTATACAATATAACTCTGTGACATCATGTAAATGAAGGGAAAACAATGTTCAATATCTGAACATCTGAACAAAAAATGTCTATTTCACAGTGGCAGGTTAAGCCATCCTGTAAAAGTGAGCCTTGTGGAATACAGTGACTAAACAAACAGAAATTAGGGTGTTGGGGATAAACTAAAGCAAACCTCATTGCATCCTGGGTTATCCACAAGCTGATGTGTGCTAGCATGTAGTGGCTGACCAGCATTTACTGGGTTGAGGACCACTTTGTCACCAATCACCACCTGCAATCACACAAAACACACATGCAGCAAATGTAAGAACAAGATGTACAGGAGAAGACTTTTTTTTTTTTTTTACAGAATATCAAAGACAAACAGCTGCAAAGAAGGTTCAAGTGTAGTTTTATCAAAAAATCTTTTAGTTATAATAAATATACTTACACATGATGTAGGTGTCAGTAAAACATAAATATTTATTTAGAAGCAAAGGCTTTTGCTTAAAAAAAATGAATGATATTAATGATTTTACTGTAAAAAAATATTCAAAATATAATGTTTCTATAGCTGAACAGAATTTATGTAAAAAAAAAAAGATTTACAGCTGAAAAACGTAATTATTGAGCACTTATTAAAAAAGAAAATATTGATACATACAGAACTTTTACAGCTATACAAAAAAAATCTGTGTCAATGTGACACTGTCATGATTACTTTGAATTTTGCAATTTCAAAAATTAGTTAAAAAATGAGAAAAAGTGTGAAGCATGATCTCCAGTGGTTTTCATTTGGTCCTTTATCAAGTGTTTGGAACTTTGCATTATAACAGAAGAAGAGACGGTAGTTTGGGTAGTTTGGTTTAGAGAAGAAGCGAACTTGTTTTTGTTTCATTAAATGAATCAAACAGAAGCATAAAACTGGTCATAAAAAGGGCCAAAATGAACAAAACATGGGTGCAAATATCTACAATCTTTACTTTTCAATAATCAAATATCATTAGCTAATAAATTCCCTGCAAATCCATCTAGAAATAAGTAAATATATCTTATATAAGATGTTTTAACCCTCAATTAAAGTAAGTAACTGAGATGATTTGCCAATGGAATTAGTATTTTTAATCTTAAAATGAGATGATTAGATGATATGCACAAATAACAAAGCAGTTGCTTTTTTCTTATTTTACATGTAGATTGTCTTGTTCCATTGGCAAAGTGTCTGACCTGATTTTAAAAAAAGCATTTTTTTAAACAAAAAAATTACTTATTTAGATTTAAAGTTTGTGCAGTGTTGATAATTTATTTGCCCTGCAAAAATTGTTAAAAAATATTTCTTTAAGATATTCCCAATTGTCGGGGTTATTGGTTTTCTCTTTTCTCCAACAAATCCAAAGCAAAAAAAAAAAAAAAAAAGAAAAAAGTCAAAAAAGGAATTAGTGTGTTTGAGATACTAAACCTTTATAATTCTAAGTTTACGAGAAAAAACGAAAAGGAGCCGAACCATTTAAGAAAATTAATAGTGTACATTTAACCCTTGCTTCAACATATTGCAGTAAGACTAATTTCCTTTCGATTAATTATTAAGAAGACAAAATATGCACACAGTTTACTCCAAAAGAGTTACAGTACACAGCTGTTGGTTGCAGGCTGATAGATTTAAATATAATTTAGGATACAGTCTTGCATCTGTTGAAATTAGCAACCTTTAGCAAAACCAGACTGAGATATAGAACATTACAGAGAACTGCTCTGTATTTGTCTCTGAAGGAACATATCTATCCTAACTGCAGATATAAAATATTGAAACTGAAGAATTAAAGAAATTCAATGTTACATTATATTTTTTGAGGAACGAGGCTGATGTAATCTGCAGCCAACACAAACTAAAAATAGGAAGAATGTACTCTGATGAATTGCTGAAATTAAGTTCCCCAAAATGTTTTACCAAAGATGATCTGGAGAAAGAAAAACTGAGTAGAATTAAAAAGAAAAAAAAAAATCTTTGCATATTCTAGAAATATGGTCTGAAGGAGGGGAAGTATGGATGGAACTTTATACAGATTAATCATGCACTGCAAGAAATTGAAATCTAAATAAGTAATTGTTGTTCAAATAAGGGAATTCTTTATTGAATTGAGGAGGTCAGTGAGACACTTCGCCAATGGAAAAAAACAATATAAATTTAGAAATAAGAAAAAACAATTGGATGGTGTCATTTTAAGTGCATAATATCTAATTATCCTTTTTTAAGAGCAAAAAAACCTTTTTCCATTAGCAAATTATCTTAATTACCTACTAACATTAAGGCTTAATACACTTAATTTAAAAGTTTTTGAAAGTTTTACTTATTCCTAGATGGTTTTTGCAGTTTGGGTGAACATCTATTGGAGGCAAAAAAAAACAACTTTAGACTGGGGTGGAAACCTCAACAAGCATGAGTCAAATAATAAGGTAATTCATGGGAACAAAGGTTTAAGCCATTTGATCTTGGTGTGTTGGGCAGGACGTGCCTTTAAAGGCCGCAGGACATAAATCATCTTAGTGAGGATTTAAGTTTGATTCAGATTGGTTTAGATGAAAACCACTTCTTACATTAGACTGGCCCAGTCAAAATGCAAATTAAAATCTGGAGTATGTGAGAATCTTTTTCAGGTCAACGATACTCTATTCAGTTTTACTTCGCTTTAACTGTTTTTGCAAAAGAGGAAAAGGTAAAAATCACATCATTAAATGCAAATCTGATAGAGAAACAAACTGCAGCTCCAATTTCAGTGGAAGGTAATTCTACACTACAAAGATTGGGTATATCATTTTACTTTTAAGGGATAATATGTTTCTAATCTCTTCAACAGATAGGACTTGTTTGTTCTATTGCATAATATTTATTCACATGGAGTCCAATGCTGTCACTCTCAGCTCTTCCTATGAACTGAAACACTCACACTGTCCCCAATAGAGCGTAGTTTGTAGAAGGGCTGAATATAGAACCAGGAGCCTTCATTTCCTGCAGTGTCCAACATCACCCTCATGGCGTTTTTCTCCAACAGAGCTGGCAGCCGTTTGTTTACCGTCAGGTATTTGTTGCTCTTCAGGTGAAGCAGCTGTGAGAACAGAAAGCAGTATTTTTGATGGTGCACTTAGAAGAGCAGCTTGCATTTACAGCACAGTTGTCAATATTATAAGTTTAAACATAATAGGATATAAAGATGTTTGGACAGATATTAACAAACATTCATTATTGGCATAAATGTCATTTTTTGGGGGGATTTTAAGTGGTGCATCTTAACTGTTCCTTCACACGATGGACGCAGGATGTAACAAGCAACTTTAGTGAATTAAAGAAAATTGTTTAAACCTTTAAATGTATTGTGGACAGAGGTGTCAAATATATATACCGGTACTATTTAAGTAGAAGTATAAATCGTACTGTTTAAAACATTTTTTTTAGAAGTTATCAATTCTCTTTTTACTTTAAGTGTAAAGTACCATTTTTAAAACTACTAAATGTATAAAATAAAAAGTATTTTTAATTTAAGGACAAACCCTAATTACTGCACTATCAAAGGAACATTTTCTACAATTCTGAATAAAAACTTCCTTATTTATAAGTTTCTTAGTTTTATAACTAATGGCATCAGTGTCAAATTTAACTTTGCATCATCTTGAAAAACTATTTATTTTGACATGTAGCGAAGAGCAAGTTGGTGCAGTGCTGAATCCAAACACAAAGAAATTAACTGTCTGGATGAAACAAATGATTTTGATGCATTTTATTGTTCTTAATACCAACAGGCCATAATGAAAATTAGCTTAAATAAACAAAACTAATAAGTCAATTTTTTCTTAAATGTAAGGAGTAAAAATAACAGATAATTGCAAACAAATGTAGTAGAAGTAGTAGAAGTAAAAATTTATCTAAACAAAGTTATCCTAGTAAAACATAGATAAGCCAAAATTTCTACTTAATTAAGGTAACAAAGTATTTGTACTTTGTTACTTTAAAACACCCCCACTAATATTTAAATATATAAAAACATCCCTTAGAAAGCTGCAGACTCTGCAGATACTCGTATAAATCAGCTGACTTCATGGATAGGCCACACTTTTAATCATAATCTTTACATTTTATACAGGGGTGAGGTCAAAGCTTGATGGAAACCAAATCTAGTTTTGATGTTATTGGCATTGTTGACCCTGGAACACCCAGTTGTGTTCATGCTTCAACAGTCTTACCCAAAAAGTCCAGAAAGGAAAGGAAGGAAGGAAGGAAGGAAGGAAGGAAGGAAGGAAGGAAGGAAGGAAGGAAGGAAGGAAGGAAGGAAGGAAGGAAGGAAGGAAGCTTGTGATTGGCTCAAATCTCTATAATTGGTTTGATTCTGATTCTCAATATCTAGAATAGTTTCTTTTTGTTCTGATCCCATCCTGACCAATCACAAATTGAATCATTGATATTTAAAACAGACTGAATAACATGACTCTGTAGTAACATTATGCATCATAATGATGCTTATAAAAACATTAAACTGTAAGTTATTAAAGTAAAGGTAGTTAATGGCTGTTATAGATTCAGAAAAAAATGATTCAGAACTTATGAGTATTTCAGATTAAGGCTTATGACTGGTATGAATACATTTCAATAAATTTCTATCGACACCAACCCTGCAGTTTAAAATACATTTTACACAAAAAAGACAATTATTGCTCAGAAACAAACCTGAATGACATTTCCATACTGTATCACTGTTCCCAGGAGCTTTTTGTTTTCAGAATCGTTTTGTTTCTTCTCCAGGTCAGCAGCATGCTGAGGTTCAAAAGAAAGATGAGGACAACATTTATTGCACCACCAAGATAATTGCTCATTGGCTCAAGTCATATACTTATAAGCTCTAAGAACCAATTGTGTTTGTTTGCTTAAAAGAAAAAGCCCTGGAAGAAGTGTCCTTAACAAAGCTTGTGTCTTCATTGGACACTAAGCTACTGAATCTGAATCTCGTTGGTCAAACAGATTGCTTTAAATGGTATTGGATTTGAGCAGAAAGAGCGAAAGGAGAGCCTCCTGGGCAGATAGATATGATAGGAGTGAATGGTTCCCAAATATATCTATAAAAGGACTAGCAAGAAGTCTACCCCCAAATATTCAGAAGAAGGGATGATTTTAAGTCTCACAACTGAGAGCACAGAAAAATCTTTTCAAACATTCAGCTAATAAGCAAATAAGGTCCAACAGTGAAATTTAAATTCATAGCCTCTCAAAATCTGTCACTTTTACTACAAGAAATGAGGGCATGTCTGTATGTTGAAGTAGCTGTAAGATGATTATGCTGTTTTCTCTGCTTACATGAAGCTTGTTGAGCAGCACTGTGTCCGTGTTCCCGCCAGGCTTTGCTGCTTTCCAGAACTGCTTCTGGGCCGAGTAGCGGTTCATGGGGCAAAGCTTAAACAGACAGTCTGCACAGAAACAAGAGCCACAAAATCAATTAGCTCTGCATAGTGAATTTCACATAAAAAAGAACATGCAACGTCAGAACAAGGGGAAATATATGGAAATGCATGCAGCATCCTCAGCAACCCTTCAAAATAATGCATTCATTTTTGTGGCAGCATGATCTCACACTGAAAGAACAACAGTCTTATTTTAGATTCATTCGAATCTAACCGTAGGTCCTCCTCAGTCTGTGTGGTGAAAAGGATAGAATGAGGTTCTCATTCAGCCTTGTTCATTTTAGTTTAATTTGTTTTATAATTATTTAATGATCCATTTGTTTCTGATGTAACATCTGACATAGCTGTTTACTGAAACAAAAAAGGGTTTGTTAGACAACATCAATGGAAAAAAAAAAATCAAGAAACACAGTGAACAGGTCAGAAATAAAGCTGTGGAGAACTTTAAAGCAAGGGTTAGATAAAAAAAAGGGTTAAGTAAAAAAAAAAACAACAACAATCATTTAAGTTTTGAACATCTCATCTCATTGACAAATACGAAGATTGTACCTAAATGCTTGAACTTCATCTTTCAGCAGGAAAACATTAAAAATACATACAGAGCTATGATGAAATTCCTTAGATCAGAGCAATCTTAATGTCTTAGAAAGGACTGGTCAAAGTTGCAATCTGACCCAAGTCTAAAGAGCTCTGGTCCACAGACAGTCCTTACAACCTTAGCATTATAGTAAGCCTGTAGAAATGCAAACCTGGTAGAATTGAAACCTTAAAAGACCATCAGATGTTTTCATAATAAAATTTCATTCTACAAAGTACAGCTTCTGGGAAAGTTAATGTAAATGCATATTATATTTTTTTAAATCTGAATTTTTGTGTTTTTTCTCTTAAGCTTAGAAATAATCTTTTCACGAACATTAAAAGATACTCGGGCTGCAACTATCGATTATTTTGCGAATCGATTAATCTGCTGATTATTTTTTCGATTCATCGATTAATAATTGGATAGCCAAAGGTTCATTTTTTATGAAATTAAAACTGTTCTGGATAGAGCATATTGACAGACATTTTTTTTTTTATACAAAATGTTTATACATTTTGTTTATACATCTTGATATAATTACTGCTCTAAGGCTGTTGCTCTGTCACCTAAAGGCATGTTTTAAAGTCTCTATACTCCAGTTAACGATTAATAGATTACTAACTTATTTGACGATTATTTCAATAATTAATTACTTTACTAATTATCATGACTAATCCAATCAATTGTTTGGGCCCTAAAAGACTTTTTTTTCTTCCCTTTGCTTTATATAGAATATAATAGAAAATCCCTTTACTGTCCCACAATGGGGAAACTGGTGTTTACAGCATTTTTTTTGTGTATTATGTTTGTGTTTACCATTTTGTCTCAGTGCATCATATAAAAGCCCAAGTAAATTTATTGAATTTAGTTCTGTTGTAATCTAACAAAGTTCAAAGTTTAAGAAGAGCAACATCTCCCCTCTTTAAATGGCATAATTTCTTCTCTTTACATGCAGAAGAATCATTGGAGAATTCATGTTAGATACTAGAAAACGATCCCGTTGGTTATTGGTAGAATGGTCTTTGCCACTGATTGACCTCATGGCACAAAACGTTTATCATTAGAAATGCTTTAGATGGATTACGGCATATCATCAAAATAAAAAACTATAGCTTTACAGAAAAAGTTACTCAGATTTATAGTTTAATTGTTACATTCTTTGGTGTGCAAATCTAACACTGAAGTTAAAAGATTTTTTTATTTTAAACTTTTTTTTTTTTTTAAGAAATCCTTTGGGACATCTATGAATGGGAAGGAAGTTTCAATATATGGAAACTTCCCAAAACAACACAACAGAAAACGTCAACAATATTAAACCCAGAGCCAAGCAAGCAGTAAAAATAGAAACCATCTTCCTCTCTATGTCCAGTGACCTGGCTGTGCATGTGACTGCACAAACAAGTATTAATAATTCTCCTAAACAGAGATCAAAGGCCTCTCACTGCTCTCAGGAGGAGCTGCGAGACAGAGACAGCCTGGATCTGTGTGACTGTTCAACCCACACGATCCTCCAAAATGCTGTAGCAGACGGGTTAGAGGGATCTAACGTCTAACCACAGGCAAGGCGAGACCATGCTGGCGTTATCAATAGTGCCTAATTGTGGTGTTCATTTTCATAAGCTGTGCAGGAAGCTGGCAGGAGGGAAACCAGGCGCTTTATTTGCATGTGGACACTGTTTTTAGAGAAGTTCCTCTTGTGTCCCTGGTCAGTTCCTCTTCTGAAACTCGCCAGGAGAAAAGAAGACTTTAACAGTGGTTGAAAGTTAAGTTTAGTTTGGCAGGAACAGATGAACTACTTTCCCTTGCAGAGCTGAATTTGTCTCCTCCCTCTGAGTTCTGGCTTTCCTCTGATTTTTATCTCCTATCAGATCACTGCTCTTTCTTTACGGAGTCAGTGAAAAGGGGAGGAAAAGAACAATCTGTCCACCCCCCCTTCTGTGTCTCTGAACTTTATTTGGAGTTGCAGTAACATGACCAAATAAGGTCAGCGAAGAGAAAGAGAGTTAGATGGCTTTAAGAGAGGAGGAGAGGGTGGGGGGACCCCCCCTCCCCTCAATATTCTGTCATCCCTCCTTCTCTTCTCTGAATTCCTCCAACTATTTCACACACACCATTTGTTCCCTCACAAATAAAAAGGTCTCAACATGCTAAATCCTCTGCTGGTACCCGAAACCAGTGGCCTTTCTCATCAACATATGTTTACTTCTGTTTGATGCATAATTCAGTAAGGAACACAATTTAAAGGAAGTGAAAGACCAATGAGGAAGACAAGGAGAGAAGAAAAGAATGTAAAACGGAGCATAGAGGGTTTACATGACTGTGGAGAAACGGAGGAACTCCGATGAGGGTGTCCGTTTGTATGCTCAATTCTTCTCTTACAGTTAAAACCACATATTTACATACATTGCATGAAAAGACACATATCCTTTTTTTTTCTCTCCACGGTCTGATATTTAATCAAACTTACCTTATCTCATTTTAACTTATTTAGAAAAGCAAACTTACTTATATAAACTCCAGAGTATTTGGATTTTTTATTTATTTAAAAAACTCAGGTTTACTGCAAAAACAATCTAGAAATAAGTAAAAATTTCGTAAATGAAGTGTATTTACCCTTAATTTGAGTAGATAAATAAGATGATTGCCAGTGGACTGTGTATTTTTACTAATAAGATAATTAGATAATATGCACCTGAAATAAGACAATGCAATACTTTTTTCTTATTTTAAATGAAAATTGTCTTGTTCCATTGGCAAAGAGACTCACTTACCTCCTCAATGAAAAAAAATATATTTGAAGAAAAAATTACTGATTTAGATTAAAATTTTCTACAGTGTAGATACATTGCAATAAATTTTAAACAGTTTAGGACAACATAGATAATCGTGTCATGGCTTTATTAACTTCTAATAGATCAATTGACAACATGGAAGCTAACCTGTGGGTACATTTTCAAGCAAAACCTCCAACATAGTACTTCTTAGTGTGACAACATGGAAAGAATGTTGCAAAGAAATCCAAATCCAAAGAAATCAGCCAATTTATTAGGGAGAGAGTTGTGAATCAGTCAGTCAGCTTAAGGGTACCACATTCACCATTTCAGAAACTTATACAAAGCATAGTGTAGGACTATCCAAGTATTACGCCATCAGGAAAGGAGAATGATCCTCTGCGCCAGAGATGAATGCTTCTTGTTGTGAAATGTGCTAATCATCTCCAGAACAAAAGCAAATGATCTTGCAATGATGCTAAATCAAGCCGGTAGAGAGTGTTGTTAAGCTAAAACACCATTCAGAAGGGAAGAAGCAATGTAGCAGGCCAAAGCAACATAAAAAGACAAATTACAGTTATAAAAAAAAAACACCCAAGGCCTAAAAGATACAGCAAGTATCCGATCACTGGAAAGCCCATCACAAAAAAGATTATATCACGAGAGGGGAATATGTTGAAAAAATAACTGAAGTATCATATCAAGACAGCAGCCAGGAAGTTTAAGGTTCTTTGATAAGAAACATGATTCTAATGGTGACGGTGCGGCTGGAGGTAGAACCACGTAACAGTCCTTCTAGGGCTAATTTTGTTCTTCAAAAACCACCTAAAAACCTCTATGGACATTCCCCACCTCATATTCTAAATTTTCAACTTCAATTTAAAAAAGGATCATCTCTGCTGTTTCCTTAGTCACAGCCACAGCTCGTCCCTGTTTAGAATATCTTAGCCTTTGTAAACAAAGACTAAGATTTTTTAAAATACCTCCTGCTAATTTGGCTTTGACTACTTCAAAGGCGCAGCAGCAAACTTACGTTGCTGAACTTGCCAAAATAGCACCGTTCTGCTCACTAGACTCGCGACCTTCGCCTTGCTCCGCCTCTGAGCCACCATCTACATAGGAATAACATGGAAATCCTTACTGTAGCTTGCAAACAGACCTTAAGAACGCTAACAAATTAGAGGAATATAAAGTTACTGTTTCTATGAAATAGATGTGTGAGAGTATGCACAGCTGGCTTTGTTACACCAAATCTGTCAGGAAGATTGGGCCAAAAGATTATTTCTAAGCTTAAGAGAAAAAACACAAAACTTTCTTAAAATTTTCCAATGGTTTTTAAAGGCAATTCTGACAAATATTAAAGAGAAGTATATAAATATCTGAATATGTAGAGGTAACAAATAAAAATAAGTCTCTCATTATTCTGAGACGAGAAAGAAAAACACTGTGTCACAATGAATGTCATGGAGAGAGAAAAAATAACATTCTGTATTTTTACATAATATTTTCTTCCTCTTTTCTACTGTGTAACAGCTGATGACAGACATAAAGAACCCTGCGAGTGAGATTACTGCTTTTGTTGTTTTCCAAAATGTCCTCTGCGAGGGGGCGGAGTCGAGGGTTCTATGTAGCAGACGTGTTTTGTGAGGGCTCCA